TGGCCATATTGCTGACTATCACAATTGCGATATTCATGGATACTGTTGGTCTTTCAATGTCGTGGTTCTCCCAGCAATGGATGACTTTCGGTTTGTACTTCTGTCCGATGTTCTTTATGATGGGCTTGCTGCCGGCGGTCTACTTGAGTCGCACAAAGGAGGTGGGTGTCATGGATGAAGACATACAAAATATGTGAATGTATTTTTCCAATTTTTTCTTCACAGCATGGCTTACCGCTGGGCTATGCTATTCAGCTGATTATGCACGCGCACTGCTTGATTTTGACTATGGTTTGCATAATACTGATCTCACTTAATATACGCTCGGCATTTGCGTTGATGCTTTGCATTGGTTTCTACGTACTATCGGTGATCTTGAATATGGCCACATGCTTCCAAAAGACTAGTAAGTCACCTAATTTTTGTGTTAGCAGAATTGTACTTTAAGCGCTCTGCTTCTCCCACAGCGTTCCTCTGGCTAATACCGCACATCATCTGCCAGCTGATGCCTTTCCTCTTCTACAGCTACTGCTGCTATGCTTTCTTTGTTANCTTTATCGGTGGCTTTACAGTGCTACTCTGTCTGCTGTTGGCACCCTTTTTGGTTCCACTTTTGTGCCTCTTCCGCAAGTCGAAGACCATTATTTCCATCTTCGGCGTCATTTGCTTGGTATTCATCATACTAGCTGCCACACCGGTTGGCTTTCCATATGCCGAACGTGAAGCGCCACAGCGTTTCTATGTTGCGGTAAGTAGAATTTATAAACCAAAAAATACTAAGAGATATTAACTATTCCCATTTTGCAGCACACAACACGCACCTTCCACAACGGCGATGCTGCGATGTCGGTTCGCTTCAACGATTCTGGCTACTACGTTGTGCCGGTCGATCGTCGTCCGCATTCAATAGACTACTTGTTTGAGAACATAAATGCGAGCAAATCTAGTCAACTGGGTATTGACTGCGATACAGAGGTGATGTGTGGCTATCCGATTTACAGTACGCGCTGGTTGGGCTATCGGTATGCTCTGAAAAGTTATTCATGATCGAATGAATGCGTCTAATAAATATTTTTCTTTAACTAGTGATCAAAGCTTTTGGGTCGATGGTCCTGCACCCAAGGCTGGCAGCTGGCCGCGTTTGAGAATTCTGAGCAAAGAACGCATCTCATTTACGAATCTGATTATTAGCCTGGAGGTGGCCGGTCCGGATCACATGAGTGTTTTCATACAACCCATGAATGATACAAAACTGGTGGACTGGTCATTTGATCGTACGCCAATTCAGGAGAACTTTAAGACGCCATACTTTATATATCTGTCATATGCTTTGGATCCGGCGCCATTTCGGTTTCATTTGGAATTCGAGGTAATTAATGAAAAGTTACTTAATTCTATATTTTGGATCGAATTTCAGTCATCTGTTGACAAATTAGGTTTGGAGATAATCCCCTTTTCGGGACTCGCTTTAATGAACTTTCATGTACTATTGGCTTTACCATTTTGATCCTATAGATTGGTTTAGTTTTTGCCCTTTAGTTTTTGCCCGAGAAGCCTAATTTTTTTGAGAATTTCCAATTTTTCCTTGGTTTAAATGGAGGTCAGAGGGTTTTGGTTCTCCAGTTGTCTTCTAAACCTGAGTTAGAGCGATTATCTGACCTAAGAGAAGACAAACTCGAAGATGAAACTATTTTAAGGCCGCTTTTGTTGCTGTAGCCCGACTCCTCATTACCTCATAGATCACGTGGAAAGCTTCAAAGAGTTAAAAGACTAAACTTCAAAGCTCAATACTACAAGTATTATGATAATTAATGACCATTTATTGGAGCTTGAAATAATGACTTACCATTTTAATTTTGTAATTCCTTACCTCTTTTTCTATTTATTTGGCTATCTAACCGTCGGTTTGGTTAGAGACTAAACAATTTTCGCCTTGGTCTCAAAACCATTTGATTGCGGCTTTATTCTCTGATAGAATTTTTGACCTGCATTACTATCTATTAGCATTTCAAGCTGTGTGACTTTGCGGATGTTCTGATACCATGATCCCTGTCGCGGCGAAGTCGACCATCCTCTCTCCCTCGTCAGAGGTGCTGTCATAAACTCATACGCTACGCAAGTCCCCCATAGAAGCGCTACCTCGTCCCATCGTCCTTCTCCATGCAGATTGTGGCAATTCGTTCACTGATGAACGTGAATCTGCAGACATGGTGTTCGAGTCTCCGAATCGCTTTCCCTGTTGAATGGGGATCAGACACTTTCCCCACATTCGTGGACTTCTGCACCCAGAATGATCCTCTCTTACTTACCACCTTAAATTTCTTTTACCTTCCCTTCTTTCAGCATGACAGCGCCGATTGGTCGGGAGCTACATTTGACGTTGCCGTTATTGGTCATAAGGTACACGACGATATCTCACACACAGACGATTTTCGCGATTTCGTAGCGGAGTTTCCTGCCTGGGCGACAGTGAGTGCTTGGACCAGCTCTTACGAGACCTGGCGAATATAAGCAATGGGCGTTGCGGTAACTAAGGGCGACAATGGCGTTGATTACACTGTCGATAATGATGATTATGTTGTTGATGACGGAATCAGAACCCGAAACTATTACTCATTACGGATGCCATAGCTTTAATACAATTATTATTAAGAATTTTTGAATATTCTGTAAATTTTAGGGAAATGTAAACCAACGAACAAAGTGCTTGAAACTTTCTGCTGAATCAATTTTAATCAGAGCAAAAGGACAATGCCATGCTATTTATTTATGTAAATTAAAAATATTTGTAAGATTATTTGTTGTATTTTTTTTTATATTTAGTAAAAAAAAAATATTTATTATTGGATATATCTACTTATTAGCTTTTATATTGATTGATTTTTATATTTTAAAATCGAAATTAAAATGATACACAATTCTCAACGATTGAGACGTTATCACAGCTTGTTTGAGGAAAAAAGCATAATTGTTTTATTTAGAAAATGATTTATGTAAAAAAAAAAAAGCTACTAAAAAATGCGGCTTTCAAATGAAGCCGACCAGTGTATTGGATATGACCATTCGGGAAATCGTTTCAAGAATGCTTTGAATTCATCTGTGTAGTACGATTCGTGATATTGGAAGTGGGCGCCTATACCAAGACGTAGTGCAGCACTCTCATTGGCTGCGGCGTGCGCGCTAAAAGTGAAGAAAGAGCTAAATATATTGCCTTAAATTATCTAAATTGTCGGCCACTTACATCCACCTCAATCCAAAATTGCAATGGGCTTTCAGTCATGGAGTACATGTGATATATAAAATAGGGCGTTGAGTAATTGTTCTTCAATGGCGTCTTGTCAAAGGTCCAGTCAACCACTTTCGCATCCGGATAAGGGTCTATATAAATAACGACACGATCAGCCGATTTCAAGCTAAATCCATAACGCACTCTCCTATTGGTTATATACACTTTTGAGGTTAGTTTGAGTTGAGTTGGTACAGGTAAGCTGGGACTTGACGCCAATATCCAGCGCGAGGAGTTTCTATGCAATCAAAATAATGTGGCGTTCATAACTAGTTTCAATTTTATTGTTTATCTGCCTTCACTTACTTCCAATTCAGCCAACGCGAATTGTAAAGTGGCAGTCCGCAAAATATTTCCGCAGCGCAATCTGCCTCAATCGCAGATTTCGGTTCAGCATTTTGAAAAATTATATTCTCCAATGTATTAATGCGTCTATCGACTGGTTGTATATAGTAACCGGATTCGTTTCTGTAGACAAAGCCGTACTCATTGTAGAAGGTGCGAGTGGTGTGCTTGGGGAAATAAAATATGGAATTTGTATTTGAGTTACAAGTAGTTATATTTGTAACAAGTAATTGAAAGAATTAAACGTTTTTTAATCCAAGATTTTGTCAGTGGTTTATAAAAAAATTATAAAACCGACCCCCGCACCAGCAAGAGCTATTTATTTCCATTTAAGTGATGCCCGTTCTAAATATGAAATAAATCGGACCATAAATATGGATTTTCCAAAAATCTCGACCCCTGCGCCACCTATCGGGCAACTTTTTTTGGGAGTTATTTCCTTCCTTGTAGGGATTAATTCATCTTTCGTATTGTATTGTCATCGGGTTCTAAGCTAGGTTTTGAAATTTCAAGTCTCTTACTCATCGGAAAGTTGGTTAAAAATTTATTGCAAGATTTGATTACACACAAGTGAAACTTAATGAATGCTTGTAAAAGGGTTGTTACCGGTTCTCATTACTTACCAACACATAAACTCTTTGAGCAGCTACATCTTTCTTATAGGGGAAGCCAACGGGTAGACAAGCGATCATAATGAAGACTAAGCAAGTAACTCCAAATAGGCTGATGAAAGTTTTTGATTTGCGAAATTTGTGTAACACAGGCAGCTATGAAATAAGAAAATTATGAGAGCAGGGTCTTTAGCAATAGGCTGTATATTGATTTTTTATGTATATAAAAATGCTCATAGTATATACCAGAAGGTTTAACTAAACACGATTAAATATTTTGTTCTATTTTCGTCTGAAACTACAAGGACTTAAGGGATAAAATCATATTAAGCAAGATATTAAGGCTGGAAGGCTCTCTGGTTAGAATATTTTCTATGAAATGAAAGAAAGTAGCTCGGAATCATGCGAATGCGTCAAATCCTCTCCGCCTCAATGCGAATGGCAAACGGGGGGAAAAATATGGAAAGAAAACAAACTCTCATTCTAAAACTCATACAGCTTTAATCGCATTAATTTAATTAATTAATTTAATTTTAAAAGAGCACTCTAGCCAGGCCTTGCGGCTAAATCAAAATTATAGAGCGGCTGTAAGAAGGACCTGTCAATAAACCCACCAAAGTCGACCATTGTCGCCATCACGGAAAGAAGGAAAGTTAATTTGACCCAATGGGGATGGACGGAGATTTAGTTATGGAAAGAGATGAAGTATCTAGTAGAAGTATCACAATCTCAGAGAAAGTTACACTAATTGGTCAGTGTAGCCAGCACAGGAGCCATGCCCACTTTTCAAATGGAAGCTCGGGCCATCATGGCAGGTATACCACCCATAGGCATACTAATCGAAAACAAGCTTTGCTAGAGGGCTTTGTGGCGACTTCGCAACTTAGAGAGCAATAGGGGACCTTCAAGAGCACTTGGTGGTTTTTTAAATCATTACTTGATCATCCCGTTCTCCAGCTCACGCAGAAAATGCTAGCTAACTTTCTCAATCATGTATACCGATGTACTATAGCTCGAGGATGACAACGCTCGGCCCAGTCAGCAGAAAGCTGCACCAATGTTTACAAATCCAACTGTAAAATTAAAAATTAATAAATACATTAGGTAAAAAAAAATAAATTATATTATAAGTAGTTTCGAAAGTATTCGTTCAACATAATTTGGTATATGGACCTTTTTCGAAGAGAAAAGGGAACAATTTTTTTAGCACTTCAACTTTGCTGGACTTGTGCGAGCCCAAGATATTGACCAAAAATTGTCATCTTTTACACAGATTTGTTTTTAGAGCATAATGAACCATATCTTTGCTATTATTCTAAAAAAGTGGATTTTCGGCCCAGGAAAAAGGCAATCAAAAAAGTTCTAACCTCACTTTAGAGGAATCTCTTAAAGTGTTCTGAATCTTAGGTGGGAGGGCCTAAAGTGCAATACCTCGACCGCTCATCCGCAGAGAAGGTAAGATTGTGGAAACAACTCTGCTCAAAGAAAAGTTTTAGCATCACAAAAATATTTTTATATGCCTTCCTGGACAAGGCAAGTATGACAACTCAGGATCGCTTGCAGCGTGGCACCAACAATATTTAAAATCCCTATGAAAACCCTTCTTGTTGATGAATTTATTGTAATAGCATAAAATTCCTCAAAATTGAAGATGCGCGAAACGATATGTAAATATATAAAGATATTCTACACGATTTAGAATCATAGAGCTTTCGTTTCTACCAAAAATGGAAGGGCAATATTTTTTTGAAAAAAAAAAAAATGAAATTACCATTACTTACAATGAATCCGGAAAAATGTATAGCCATTATAAAACATAAACCGGCAATAAGAAACTCAGGCTTGCTAGTCGGTCCATTGCGTCCCTGCATAGGTATGAATATTGTCAGGAAAGTAAATGTGAGATAAGTATAGAACCAGTACGGCGCCAGTTGGCATAGAAGATGTATGGGCAGGTATAAGTATTCTACGAAAATAAAGAAAACCAAAGTTTTTCCAAAATTTTTTTTAAGTAAAATGGACACTTACTCTTTCCCCAAAGCCGATTTCCAACACTCAATATGACCGACATTGTGTAGAAGAAAATGGCAATCATCGGAAAGAAAGCGGACCGTATGCCGAGCCCAGTCATAGTCAGACAAATGCCAACCAAAATAAGGCAGTGCGAATGCATGAAGCAGGCTAAAGTGTCATCAGGACACATGTTGGACTAGGAGTAAGGATTTGGTAATGGAATATAGAAATGTGAATATATGAACCACACTCACCCTCTCCTTGGTGCAATGCATGTACACCGCCGGTAGCAAAGTCATGGCGAAGAACATGGGACAGAAGTAGAGGCCAAAGATCAGCCACGTTTCTGAGTACCAACACTCAGATGCACCTATACCGTCAATTGCCACCGCAATGAGAAAGGTGAGACCCCCAGCTACCAGTGTAGTCACAATTTGCACACCAACAATGGTTGAGAAACGAATGA